AGAGGGTGTCAATCACCTCTGCACAAGGAACTCTGCTGCCATATGTTCGTGCCAATGGCAGCGATGGTGCAGAAGCCCTTCTGGCAATCTGCCCATCTGCCCACCCCTTAACTAACCCTTATTAACACGCGCATGTGAGAATGGGAGGAGGAGTAGTTTCAAGCATTGCTGCAGAGAGCATCAGCAAGCAAGTAACTTGTGAAGAATTCATCTATTGCGCGTCATCGAGACATTTGGTAATGTGTTCACTCAGCCACGCAGATATATGAAACTTTACTCATTACACAATTACCGAAACCACTAGTACTTCTAGTCAGTACGAGCATCAACCACAAGATGTCATCGAAAGGTAGTGCGATTTACCCGATTTTGTCACGTGGTGAATGACACTCTCTTCATTGGTAGCAGTAGTTGCTTGTGCAGCGGTTGTGATGGTAAATTCCGTGGTCTGATAATGTCCTGATGACAAAAACAAAGGAATCTTCACAACTTAGGTATCCGTCATTGCATCCCTTAACATTATTAGCAAGTACCCCTGAATCACACTCTAGCAAGGTAGAGGAGTGGATAGGTGTGAATTTTACGAGGGCAACACATTGATGCGCTCTTGCACGTTTGCTCCAACTAACAATGACATGACAACAGACCTCCCTGTCAGCGGATGGATGGCGCCTTCTCAATCACGCCGTTGGTACACCTCCTCTATCCAATGCAAAGATTGTGAAACAAGTCCTTTGTCCCTGGGTCATATACATCAACGCCAACAAACTGATACAAGTCTGCTTCAATACATTACTTGATACCTGTAGCACCACCGCGCATGCTAGTTACAAGCAAATCAGTGGACAAATGAAAACATGAATAAATGAATTTCGCACTATAACAGACTCCAACTGCCCCCTCGTAAGGTGCAATAAACTCGGTCACCGTGTCCACCACATCTTCAAATAATCAGTGTCTCATTATGATATCCTCTGTAAAGTGCATGGTACCATGGGCAAATCCACTTGAGAGATGACGATTATAATTGCTGGAGTTTATTGCACAGCCCACTGAGCAGCATTTGTGAAAGACGCTGCGCTGAATAATCAAATACACCGATGTACTACAAAGGGGTAAGTGCATCTCTTCCAGAAAGCCTCCCTCACTTCGTCGTAATGCAAACATTACCCATTGCCGTTGTTTACACCGCTACAACGTAACAAAGATGTGGTGAAAGGAGAAAGATAGAAGGCCAGAACGCTTCTATGGTCAACAGATTTGAGGGGCTAAAATGCGTTGCTGCTG